AAAATTTAATGTTGTTTTTAAATTTTCTACTGAAGTTCCTTGATCTGTTTTATAATCAACCTTTTGAATTCTGTGTCTGAAATTTCAAAAATTTCACTTTGGTTAGGATTTGCTGCTGAAGAGTTGGTGTGGTCTTTTGGCAGTGTTGGAAAACTCTGTGTTTTTACATTGTCAGAATTATTATTCTGGTTCTTTCTCATTTGGGCAGATGATTTCTTTTTATTTGAGATTGGCAGGGGACTGACAAAGACACAGTAGGGTTCCCTTGGTTATATATAGCCTTAATGTGGTGAGTTTCTTAACCTGCAGCAGTGGCAGCCCTGTGCTGTGTACCTGCACTGACTCACAGTGTCCTGAGTGGCTGGAGTGGCTTAGGAAATATTGTTGGTTGGCATTTGGAATGAGGTCTGCCCCCAAGCAGAGGTATTGTAGCCAATTTGGTAGGCTGTACTGTTGATTTCTGACAAGGAGGTGGCACTTGTAGACAAAAGCCAGCTATGATGGTAGCCGTAGTGTTTCTTCTTGAGGAGTGTTTCTCCAAGGAAGTGACCAGCCAGCCTAGGCTGAGGTCCTGGGTATAAGGATTTTCCAAGTTCTGCTTTGAGTGTCAGGGAGGTTAGAGAAAAGGAGCTGAAGCACCCTGCAAGTGCACACTTTCTTGGTAGGAACAAGTCCCAGACCAATGGGGTAATGCTGTTGCATAGAATAGGCACAGAAGAGGAGTGAGAGGTTGCTACTGCAAGGTGTCCCACCCAGCTCCTGCCTTCACCTCTGCCAATCTGTGATCTGAATGTCAAGGTGAAGCCAGCCTCAGGGCCTCTGGTATTCTCAGGCAACCCACCCAGCCAGAAACTGTTTTCAGCCTCAGAATTTGCCCCTGGGGCCCACATCATCCTAAACTGTCTGGAAGCAACTAATCTACCCTGCAACGATTGAGTTCCTGGGAAATGGTACCTGATGCTGCTCAAGGCTTATTTTCCTGCATCACTCCATGGCAGAGAATGGCTATGGAGAAGGCAGTTTCCCATGAGAGACTGGGGTCCCACGAGGCTCAGGGAGCCCTGCAAGTTCATAGTAGGAGCACAGAACTCCTGAATTCCTCTCACTCACCTTCCCCACCTTGTCCACATGCTGTGGTGGACTCTGGATGTCCAAGCAACAGTTTGGCCAATTCAAGTCCAGGGTGGCAGACTTTCTTCTTCTTTGCTCTAAGTTGTTGTTATCACTTCTATGGAGACTTCTGGGGCATGCTGCTGGATCTAATTCTCTTTGGGTGCTGAGGAAACTCAATCTTAGTTTACTCTGTAGGAGAAACTCACTCTAGCTACCTCATGTCAATCACCTGACTCCTTTCTTTGGTAGCACACATTTCTGATGGCCTAGAAGTTTTCCTAAGTCAAAAAATAACTTCTTACATCCCAGGTAAGCACAATTCTGACCCCTAATTTAGATATGCTTTGTCTGTTCTCATGTCTATATTTTCAGAAGATTGCACAATGTTTCTTGTAATGTTTTTCAATATGTATTTGTGGAACAAATGAATGAGAGAAAAGGATGAGGCAAAGAGTACAATATTTCTATTCAGGATACTGAATACATTAATCAATGTTTTCTGTTTTTTTAATTGATTATGAATTTGTCCAATTGAATTTCATCTAGATCACATTTTAAAAATCTTACATTAAGATAGCAAGACATTTAGTGAAATGTTGTACCAAAATTGGGATAAAGTATAACTATAAAACTTTTCTAAACTACCATTTTAGGAATTTAGTCAACAAGGTATATAATTTTATTTTATTTTATTTTATTTATTTATTTTTGAGTTGAAGTCTCACTCTGTTGCCCAGACTGGAGTGCAGTGACCGCTCCTGGCCACTGCAGCCTCGA